AATTAAAACCATTAACATTGAGATATCTTTCTTATTGAAATACTGGGCAAAATTTAATTTTTGGCTGATATTTTTATAAGAATGAATGAGCATGAAAAAATTACATAAATCAACAACCTATTGTAATTTAAATTTTCTTTTTTTTTCGAAAATAGTTTGGACCAGAAACCTTGGTTGTGATTAGCATTGGTTGCCAAAAACTATTTTGAAGAGGCAAAAAAGTCAATACTAAAATTAAAAGTTATATGTCAAACTAGTTTTGACTTGTGGTGAAGCACAATATCTACTGAAAAAAAAAAAAGAAGCTGATGCCATTTGACAACGCAGAAATAGAGGCAAGGAAACTGATGAACAGCATCAGAAACAGCACCAAAAAGATGCTAAAGCCCATCATCAGCAGCACATCAACAATCCTCAGCTGCATAACTTTGCCCAGGACTTTTCTGAGGATGCAAATGTACCCATTTTACATCAAATTAATGTCACTAGCAGTACTACATGTAGTCACTGTAATGCATTCAAGTTTCCTCCAGAAAGTCCTGGAATGTGTTGCTCCAATGGAAAAGTAATATTAGCAGAACCCAATGTCACCTTGCTTCTGCAGAATATTTTTTCTGGTCAGAACAATATTTCCAAGCATTTTCGGGATAATATTCATCTTTGCAATTCAGTGTTCACATTCACCTCTGTTGGTGTCAAGTTTGATCATTAACTTGCTAATACAAATACTGGTATTTACACTTTTTGTGTTCAAGGTTCATTCTATCACAGAATTGGACAACTACTACCAGAACCTGGATCTCAACCTCACTATTTGCAGATGTTATGTTTGGGATGCTCAACATGAACTACACCATCTAGCAAATGTTGTTCCTTAACTCAACTATTTTACAAGCTTTGAAGGACATGCTTGATGAAACAAACCCCTATGTTACTAACTTTTGATAGATTTCTGACCTACCTGCTGAAAATATTGGTAATCTATCCATGGTTATTCATGCTTATATTCCTGATCTTGACCCAAGGACTCACAATGCCCCAACAGCATCTCAAGTAGTAGCAATCTGGATTAATGATGACATTCGCCAAAATGTGGTTCAGAAATGTGATATTGTATTGTATACACAGATGGATCAGCTGATTCACATCTCTGAGCTTAATGGATGCTATGAACCCTTGGCTTATCCGCTTTTCTTTCCACATGGCAAACAGGGATGGGCTCCTAATCAAATTCCATACAGAGACATTCCTTCTGTCCCTGAATGATGGATATTGATATAAGTCCTAATGATGAAGATAAACACAATATGGAACATGAACATGGTAATACTGGAATACAACATAGAAAATTTGTGAGTACTATGCATATCAACTTCAGATTTGGCCCAATCCCACCAATCTGCTTTTACAAGCAGGATGGCTTTTCCAACAATACGTAGTTGATATGTATGTCAAAATTGAATCAGATCATTTAAACTTTCATTGACAGAACCAAGATAAAATCCAAAGTAATCTGTATCAAGGTCTTCAAAGATGCAGCTTTGCATGGTGGCAATAATCCACAACACATAGATCAGAGAATTCTACTCCCTTCCCATGTTCATTGGGAGTCCTCATGACATGTTACCTCGGAAGATCTTGCAAAAGCAAATACATTAAATGAAGCCCAACTTCAGTATTTGATGAAATACAGAATCTCATAAACTAATGTATTGTCCTGCTAGAAGTGGAAAAACCTATCTCTATGATTGCCTCCTTGCCTATGTACAAGCCAATAACAGAATTGCATTGGCAGTAGCTTCTTCCGGTATTGCATCATTACTATTGCATGATGGATGCACAACACATTCTCACTTCAAGGTAACAATTCCAATAAATGAAAATACAACCTGTAACATCAAAAAGTGTACTGATCTGGCTAAATTACTTCAAGAAACTATTCTGGTTGTTTGGGATGAAGCTCCAGTAACACATCACCACTAAAGCTCCGAACGAGTCGGGTCGGGTCGGGTCGGGTCAGTGGTTCAACCCGACCCGACTCGAACTTTAAACAGTTGACCCGACCCGACCCGACCCGTCGGGTCAACGGGTCACAGATTAAGAAAATTACAAATGTAGATATATTAATTGATTTAAAT